AACATGGTACATACCACAGATCTTAATAAGACTATTTCCACTTGTACAAATGTAACTTCAATCCTCTTTAAATTAATCTACCAAAGTTGTCATTCAGTCAACCTTTATTTATACAGGTTAGTCTCACTGGGTCACGAGGACTCATTTACAAGAGACCTGTTTTAAACAAACACAGATGAGGTACATCTGTGGTAACACACACATATTTAGTCTTTGGGGAAAAAAAAAAAAACCGTTTCAACAAAGTTGAAAAAAAAAAAAAAGAAGGTTATATTATTTTTCATTTCTGAATCTGTCCGGAGTACCTGATTTAATTAACTTTGTTAGATTTTTCTACCTGGATTATTGAGCATGCATTAGATTAAATTCAGATTAATTACATTGTTATAGTGAATGAGAGTAACGCCACTTGGTGCTTTATAAATTAACTGAATTGAATTAACGTAGTAACAAGTGTGACCTAAATATATGTTACAACGACCTGCCGTAAAGTTTGAACCCGGACTGCTCGAGGACAGCGCTCGAGCCACATTTTTGTACCCCTCCCCCACGCGCTAACATGGCGCCCAGGAGCCATGAGTGTTAGCGTTTAATAATAAATCTACCTCCTGCTTTGGAGGATAAAACAAAGTAGAGCCGCGACCCCCCCATGTGACCAATCGCAGAAAATAAAGACGGATAAGACGATGTGTAAACACGTAACGATTTGACGTACGGCGCGTGCGAGCCGACAAACTTAAAACAGCCCCAACACAACAAGCTAGTTGTAGTCCCCGACGGCTACATTAAAACAACATGCGTGCGCGCTGGGCAAGAAACACACTGCGACACACTTTTTATTATTCAAAAATAGATTTCGCACCACGTATCGCTTAAGCTTTAATAATTTAAAGCACGCGAGTTGTTTTTTTCCTTCTTATTTTAATATTGCTCTGTTGGCTTCCACACTTCGCCTATACGTTTATATTCTCTCATTTTAGCCATGTTAGCTGCTCGCTCAAGTCACAGATGAGTGTTTACACATTTACGGACTATTATGCACCGCTCCACGCGCGCCTTCCAACAAGCGACGCTTCCGCTGCGGCACGCGAACGGGCCATGTCAACAACGTAAAATTGTGAAGTCAGTGTTAGCCGCTAGCAGGCTAGCAGCTGCGCGCGGCCTGCTGCCGTCCCATGTGCTGCCGCTTTGTTCTGGAGGCACTTTTAAATGTCCACCGCTCCGCACAAAGTGCCCGAAAACAGGACGCTTTCAGCGGCGCGTGCTCGACGAGACGGAGCGCGGGTTGATTACGGGCGGCTGCTGCAGCTAAAAAGGCGCAACGCGCAGTTTTCACGAGCCACAATCGCCTCTCCCGAGTTGAGGCGCAACAGCAACACATGCCCCCGTTTTCAAATCTCCCTCATTCTACGATCATGGAGGAGAGGGCTACCATGCGCCTTTACAACACCGCTCCCAAACGCGGAACGATTAAAACGTTTTATTCACGCGAAAGCTAAACAGTTCTTCCACTTTCCTGTCGCACAAAACGGAAGAAAAAAAAAAAAAGAAGCGCTAACAGGTTTCTTGGAAACAGCACGCGCTGCGTTAAAAGGCACGAGCTACTAAAAAGCCACCATCTTCACTCACTTTAGTCAACACTTACCGAGGACTCACAGCGGCTCTTTGGAGACCTGCGAAACACGCCGAGAGGAAAACAAGAGCTCAACTACGACTTGGCGATAAAACACGAGCAAAAGTGCACGACCATGTGCTCCTATTTTGATTTGCTGGGAGTTTGGGAAGCGTAGTAAGATTGCGAAAGTGGCGCGAGTAGAGTGGTGAATGAAGGGCGGATCCCAGGCAGCAGAGCCGAACCCCACAACTCATTTACATAAATCTGCCACTTCCTCTGCCAAGTTTTTATTGGGAATAAATGGATAAACCAATAAATAAACAACCTCTATCATATTAAACTTATTTATAGTCTAGCACAGTGCTGTTGGCTTGAATCTAGTTGTTTTTTTTTTTAGAAATTAAAGTTGTTTATTTGGATTTTTTTTCTTCTCCCCGACAAAAACAATTATTGCATTTAAAATGTGCAATTTATAGATCAGAAATCACGATTGTTTACTCACGCTCACATTTTTCATCTGATATACAGAAACAGCCATGAAGTAAAAGCAACAAAAACACAAATCTGGTTGAGTTTCTGGAACAAATGTTTTATTAAGTTTATCAATAAAGTTTAAGGAAATGTTTAACCTGCAGCCAGGACACATGAATACAAAACAAAGTTTATGTTCTGATACAGTTAGAATTATATTTAGAAGTTAATATTTTCAGAGGAAAGTTCAACTTTAATTACTCAAAGAACAAATAACATTTTGGAAACTATATATGATTTAGTTGCAAGAATATCCAAACATTTCTACTAAAACAAAAAATATATATATAATAGAAACTGTTACGATAAATTGCAAAATAACTAACATTAAGTTGAATATTTAGTGTACGTATGTGTATATGTGGCTAAATAAATAAAAAAAAGTTATTTTGCATGAATTCAAACATGTACATAATATAAGTGGATACATATATGTATATATGTTTCTTACACGCAACAACTTCAGCTTCTTACTCCTTTTCAGACACTGGATTACTGTTAGTCAAATGTTTCTTTTTTATGTAATAATAAAATTGTGACTTAATGTTATCCAATAACTAATATACTTAACTGTAGTATCATAGAAATATTGTAAATTCTGCTTGTTGCCAAACTTTATGGTTCAAGTTGTTGCTATAATATAGAGATATATTCCCTCTGGATTACTGGATTAAGCCCTGTCTGTGCCTACCACTCACTGCACGTTATATGCTGATATACTCACTATACTTTCTCAATTATTTCCCATGTTTGCACATAATGAAACTTTGCACAACTTACTTTAAATCAGTTTTTATTTAATAACTTATATGTTTTTTTTCTGCTGTTTGTGCCTGATAGCCTTACCTGTATTTACTTCTGTTTTGTTGCTGTTGTCTTTATTTTTACATGTATGAGTACATGTTAGTGACTCTTCTCTGTCATATTCTACTTAATTTTATTTGTTTGGTTTTATTTGGCTTTAATGCTGCAGGATATAGTGCACTGTATGCTGTTGATCTGGTGATATTAAACTTTTATACTTTTTATGTTCACTGTTACTTTTGTGCTTTTTTAAAAATAAACTATACTGTGAAGCAATATCAAACCTGTTGGTTCAAATTTCATTAAAGTGAAAAGTGATTTTAAAAATGAAAAGCTGTAAAAGTCAATTTTTGGGACATATTTCATCCAGTTTTATTTGTGGCTTTAAAAAAAACAAACTTGCCCACTATATGTTTATTGATACCAAGATTGTTACGAGCCCATAAATTAACCAGAATAACTATTGTGAGTTGAAAAACATACATTCTTGCTCATATAATATTAATCATAAATTAATCCCACGACATACAATTTATACATAAGTGACAGGAAAAAAAACACTAGAAGAAAAATGTGTTAAACTAAAATCAAAGTCCGACCACAAAATAAATAAAACACAATAAAACATGGTAAAATTGAAAATACAGTACATGACATTATTTTTCTGGTCTGGTTCTGATACATTTTCTTTTCTCTTTCTCATTAAATATATTGTAGCTCAAATAAGCACAACATTTTGTTTCATTCTTTTTTTTTTTTTTTTTAAAGGAGAAAGAAACATTGGTTTGAAACCTGACACCACCTGGATGCTTATAGCATGTTGGTTAATTATTTACAAAGGTTACATTAGGGCACATGGACAGATGGAAGACGATTAAGATGAAAAAAGCACGTGCTTAAATAGGCTAATATGAATAAGGCATGCAGTGATAAACTGAGAACAATACATGGAAACTTTATTTAAATCTGGATAGCATTCATCTGTTTTATAACTATTTTATAACAACTTGCAGAATAATTTAATTAAAGAATGCTGCAAGAGTAGGAAAATTAAACATAAACGTTTAATTTAAAGTGTAATCATGTTTGAATTTATCTTCAAAACAAGCATGTCTCCTCTAATCATTTTCATAAAATGTTTTGTTTTAACAATGACAAAACAAACAGTTAAATGTATTTCACACAGAAATAAAATAAAATAAAACATGGAAGAACTAATTTGGGAAATTATAGTTTTGCACAAATTTAAATTTCATTTTGGGTGGACTGCTCAGTGAACTGAAAGATCATTTTTTCAGGCCTTTAAAAAAAAAATCTTGCCATTTTAAAACAAAAACAAAAAATAGGAAAAACTATTTACATTTAGAATTATAGACATAAATAAATAAAAAAAATTGCCAAAACATTCACAAATTAAAAAAAAGTAAATTGTGCAAAATGCATGATTATTATGTTTACTAAGACCTAAAACACCTTTATGTACTATCATCGTACAAGACTTTTGCTTTTTGAATGTCCAGAGGAGCAGACTTAACTTTATTAGATTTTTCTACCTGGATTATTGAGCATGCATCGGGATACTTTTGCTTTGTGTTTGAATTATGCACTTTAAAATAGTAAAACTCAAGAGGACATTTTGTTTTATGGTCATTTTTTTCAAACATATATTTAGCCTGTAAAGTACCTAACATCTTCTTTTTTGTTGTTGTCATATTTCACATTTAAAATAGGCTTGAAGAAAATTGCTTCAGTAATAAAATTAGTTAACAGAATTTGCGTTTTCTTTTCATATGTTTTGACCCTTTCTGCCTACCATAGCAGTTCCGGTACCCGGAAGTTGTATTTTTTGTCACAATAATACACAGTTAACGCTACTGTAAGCCCAACACACCATTATTTCACAATTACTCCCATTGTACTTTTAACATACTTTTAATATAACTATATGATAATGAATAGGTTGAGTATTGTACACTTTAGAACGATTTAAGTATACAATACCATGCGTGCTTCTTTTATTTTGAAAATAAAACAGTCGCGTTCCGGTTTCAATGAAAGTCTTTGACGGCGTGCCTTAACCTACTGAAAATGATGTTTCCATGAAGTTTTATGCTAAAGGGTAACAAGGTACGTTAAACGAACATTTCAATACAGTAACATTTATTTAATTAGTAATATTTTTAGTGTTGGAAACACATAAATGTAGATTGAAAATAGGTTACACAGAGTTTAGTGCAATATGTTGCCAAATCGCGCCAGACTAGCTGTTGGTTTATGTCACTAATATTAGACACCTAATAGTCAGCATGAACAGTGATTTGTGTTAATATATTGTATCTTGTGAACTATTGCGTATAACAGCACTAACAGCAATGTGAAAGCATGATTTCTGTTACTCATTCCCAGGTGACAAAAATATACTTGTTAAATCAGATTAGGCATCACTGAAAGACACTAACGACCAACAAATAATCTACTTAACGAATTAACGTTGCATTCAAATGTTTCTTAGTAAAAAATTGTTTTAGAGACAGTACCCCTTTTCCTTTTTTCTCACAAACATTGAGGCTCTTCTGGTTGTAGATGCTTTTTATATTTAAAGTTGTTGTACAGTATTCCGAGTTTTAAAATTATTAGTCTTTAGCATATTTCAACATATTTAACAATTCACTTTCAGAGCTTATTAAATAATCAAAAACTTAATTGCATGCTTATATATCATAATATTGCCTGACACAATGCAGCTGTGTTGTCTGGTAACATTTTTGTTTGTTTATCTCTTTTCTTTCTCATTTTAGTCTTCCTCACTGATGGCGGCCTGTGTGTTGTGTCGTCAGGTTGCCAGGTTTCGTTCCCTTCCAATATGGAGAAAAGGTTTAACCCAGGCTAAACACATTCACATCAAATCGGAGGATGACATAAATGATCAACAAGAAAATAATAAAGAAAACAAACCCCAAGAAGGGTACAAGCTGCGTTATGACCCATCGTCTTACTCAACAAACTCTGCAAATTCTCACCACCAGACCGATAATGAAGAGGAGCAATGTCTCGTGGCTCATGGGCCTTCTTTCTGTCAACAAGGAAATCGCTACAGTGTGAGCTGCTCGCGGCAATCTTCAAGCTCAAAAAGCAAGCTTCGCCGCTTGAATTTCAACAAACTCCCTGAACCTGAGATACCATTTGTGTTGCCTGCACAAAAAAAGCCAGTACCACCAACTGCTAAAGTAGACTCACGTGCTTTCCTTAAATGCCGGCCAAAGTATGCCTCAATGACCCTTGACCTTACCCAGCAACCTCGTTATATCGACTGGCCAGAGGTGTTACTGCTACTCCAACAAGCGTCGCTCTTAAAGGGCAAGATGAAGCCGTCTGATGTTTCCCATTTCCTCGTGGAGGTCAGCAAGTTGCACCCAGACAACTTGCCACTGCTGCATAGGAACCAAAGCTTTGTCCTGCTCCTTCAATATTCTGTAGAACATCTGCAGCTCTTTTCTCAGCTTCAGCTGCTGGAGGTGTTGCAGTCATTTGTGTGGCTGAAGATCCCCCCTTCTTACTATGTGCTGGAGGCATTTGAGTCTGAGCTGAGCCATCGAGCCTACCAGATGAGCTTGCATCAGTTGTTGTTCGCTGCTGACCTGTGGCGCTGCATGAAGAGGCTGGTGCCACAGTTTTTACAGCAGGTGTTTAAATTGATTTGCCCAAATCTGGGACAAATAGGCGTTCCTGAGCTGATACATCTTTTGTATATAATGGGAGAAGGCAGGCACTGTCCGAAAGACTTAATTCATCCTTTAGAGCAACGTCTGATGCGTGATTTACATCAGCTGCACCCAGAGGAGATTGGAACTGTCTGCCTGGGCCTCTTCAAGTCCCAATCCCCAATCTCTGAGCACGCAGTGACACGGCTCGTTGACAGAGCACTCTGTTGTGTGACTGAGATGAGTGACTTTGCGCTGGTGAATGTGATGAAATACCTGCGTTTCAGTTATCGCTTTCACAGAAAGTGGCTGGAAGCTATGGAGCAGGAAGTTCCTCAACGCGTCCACGGGATGAGTGTCCAAGGTCTAATGCATATGGCTTTGACTTGTTCATCTCTGCATTATCACAACAGCAACATCCTAAATGCCATTGCAGAGAGGATTCCTCCTCTTGTGCCACACTGCAGGAGTAAGGACTCGTGCAAACTCTTGTGGGCCTATGGCTCCTTGGGGTTTCTCCCCAGTCAGAGTCCGACTTTCTTTCCAAGCCTCATAGAAGGCCTGAGACAGAGGAAAGCTGAGTTCCAGCGATACCCAGAGCACCTACTTACTGGCCTTCTAGGCTTGGCTTTTATCTCTCAGTTCCCAGAGGACCTTGTTGCATTAGCTTTAAGCCCTGAATTTATCAGCTTGGCTCTGAAAAACACCAATCTGGATCTGAAAAAAGACTTGTTCTCGTTAGACAGTGCTGTTGCGCTGGAGATGCCTCAGTGGATGGGCCCCAAGTTAACTTCTGAGTTAAGAGAAGAGGTGGCAGACATGCTGTGGAAGTTTGCACTGTCGTCCATATGCCAGAAACCAGAAGTTCTAGAGGCTGAATCAAGTCTTCAAGACCTACTTGGGGGAGAGCAGTTTGTGTGGAAGAGAATGATCCTCCCCCACACTCGCTCCATCGACCTGGAAATCCATCTGGACTCCACTGGACAGCCCATTCCTGTGAACCCACCACCTCTGGAGCAGAATTCATCAGTAGTTCCCTCTAATCAGGACTGGAAGAAATTAAAAACCGGAGTGACTGTTACTGATGAACTTTTTGAGAAGTTAATAAACGTCAAAAGTCCTTCAAATTCTTCACCTTCATCTCCCGGCCCTGTGTCCCCTTTCAGATTATCGCCGGATGAGAGTGGGAGTCTGTTTGACTCAGTTCTAGACTTGACCAGTGGCATCCCAAAACCCCAAACTATTACCGCTGAGTGTCTTTTGCAGGACTATAAACATTCTGTGAAAGTGGCTGTGCAGGTCACCCACAAGAACCATTTCTGCTCCCAGTCCCAGCACCTGCTGGGGCTTCACGCGATGAAGAGAAGACACCTAAAAATCTCAGGCTACAGAGTCGTAGAGCTGCACCACAATGAGTGGCTCCAGATGCTCAGGAAGAGCAAGGCTGAGAAGCTGGGGTACCTCCACTGCAAGATCTACAACTGTCTGTAACGAGTCTTAGGCCTCCACGAACTGGAAGAAATGGAAAACGGTATTGCTTAATTTTGTTTTGCTCAAATGCAAATTGCAGAAAGATCCATTGGTAGATGTTTAAGTTTATGTTTAATTTTGGCGTTTTTTTATTTTATTTTTTGTTCAGCTCTCAAATGTGCCTTTTAAACAGTTTAAAAAAAATAAATGTTCCAATTTTCACTCTACTGGTCAAAATTGTGGTATTTTACACTAGCATTTATAACACAGTAGATTTTAGTAATTTATTAATTTTTTTTTCAAATTTAATTTTAGTCTTCCTTGTTGTGTTTTACTCTGCAGAACTTGTACTTATTCAGAAACCAATCTCAAAGGTCACGTCAAAGGCAAGTCTGAAATAAATCAAAATAAATGATAATAAAAAGTATGTGACAACAGATTTTTGTTTGTTGAGTGGGTGGAGGAGGCTGTATTATGTTGCAAAAAATCTAAGAAAAAAAAATGCATTTACCAAAATGTCTGCTGTCCACATAGAAAACAAATAACAACTATAAGTTTGCATATATAACTGTATGTGTGTGTGTGTGTGTGTGTAATATCCACCCATCCATTACATTTACCCGCTTCTTTCTTTTCGGGTCACGGGGTTCACTGGTGCTCATGTCCAGCCATCACTCTGAGAGGTGGGACACACACATAATAATAATAATAATAAACTTTATTTATATAGCACCTTCCAACAACGCCTTGCATTGACCAAAGTGCTTTACAAGATACAAAAAAACGAGTGCAAATTAAAAATACAGCCACAATAATAGGAGGTAAAAAATACTAAAAGTTAAACATCAAAAGCCCTTTAAAATAAATACAAACCGGATTCCAAAAAAGTTGGGACACTAAACAAATTGTGAATAAAAACTGAATGCAATGATGTGGAGATGGCAAATGTCAATATTTTATTTCTAATATAACATAGATGACAGATCAAAAGTTTATTCTGAGTAAATGTAACATTTTAAAGGAAAAATATGTTGATTCAAAATTTCACAGTGTCAACAAATCCCAAAAAAGTTGGGACAAGAAGCAATAAGTGGCTGGAAAAAGGAAATTGAGCATATATCGAACAGCTGGAAGACCAATTAACACTAATTAGGTCAATTGACAACATGATTGGGTATAAAAAGAGCTTCTCAGAGTGTCAGTGTCTCTCAGAAGACAAGATGGTAAGAGGATCAACAATTCCACCATTGTTGCGCAGAAAGATAGTGCAACAATACCAGAATGGTGTTACCCAGCATAAAATAGCCAAGACTTAAGTTATCATCATCAACCGTGCATAACATCATCAAAAGATTCAGAGAATCTGGAACAATCGCTGTGCGTAAGGGTCAAGGCCGTAAAACTCTACTGGATGCTCGTGATCTCCGGGGCCTTAAACGTCACTGCACCTCAAACAGGAATGCCACTGTCAAGGAAATAACAGAATGGGCTCAGGAATACTTCCAGAAAGCATTGTCAGTGAACACAATCCACCGTGCCATCCGCCGTTGCCAGCTGAAACTCTACAGTGCAAAGAGGAAGCCATTTCTAAGCAAGCTCCACAAAGCTCAGACATTTGCACTGGGCCAGGGGTCATTTAAAATGGAGTGTGGCAAAATGGAAGACTCTTCTGTGGTCAGATGAGTCACGATTTGAAGTTCTTTATGGAACACTGGGACGCCATGTCATCCGGACCAGAGATGACAAGGATAGCCCAAGTTGTTATCAACGCTCCGTTCAGAAGCCTGCATCACTGATGATATGGGGTTGCATGAGCGCTTGTGGCATGGGCAGCTTGCATGTCTGGAAAGGCACCATTAATGCAGAGAACTATGTTCAGGTTCTAGAACAACATATGCTCCCATCTAGACGTCATCTCTTTCAGGGAAGACCCTGCATTTTTCAACACGATAATGCCAGACCACATTCTGCAGCAATCACAACATCATGGCTACGTAGGAGAAGGATCCGGGTACTGAAATGGCCAGCCTGCAGTCCAGATCTTTCACCTATAGAGAACATTTGGCGCATCATAAAGAGGAAGGTGCGACAAAGAAGGCCCAAGACGATTGAACAGTTAGAGGCCTGTATTAGACATGAATGGGAGAGCATTCCTATTTCTAAACTTGAGAAACTGGTCTCCTCTGTCCCCAGACGTCTGTTGAGTGTTGTAAGAAGAAGGAGGGATGCCACACAGCGGTAAAAATGGACTTGTCCCAACTTTTTTGGATTTATTGACGCCATGAAATTTGGAAACAACAGATTTTTCCCTTAAAATGATACATTCTCTCAGTTTAAACTTTTGATCTGTGATTTGTGTTCTATTCTGAATAAAATATTAGATGTTGGCACCTCCACATCATTGCATTCAGTTTTTAGTCACAATTTGTTTAGTGTCCCAACTTTTTTGGAATCCAGTTTGTATATACATGTATGTGTATATACATATGTATGTATATGTATATATGTATGTATATATATATGTATAAATATATATGTATGTGTATGTATATATATATATATATATATATGTATAAAGAGAAAGATTACCTCAAGGTCATCATGACATCTTTATGTATATGGTGATGCCTACAGGTCCTTGATCAGAAGATTTGATTGAATTCGTTAAACTTGATTGTGCTGTAACATTTCAGATTCTAAACCAATCTTGATGATCAGTTCAAAGTATGATTTACCAGAAATTTGAGTCATCGCTGTAAATCCCACCGTGTCAGCATACCAAGTGACAGACTGGTCCCAGCTCTCCTGACCCTGGGAAATGCATCCTTTCAAACTGGAACAGAAGTTATCTTCTTTTGACGCAGCCGTGTTGACGTCTCGTACCTGTCGGAAGATGGCTTTGATCCTCAGGTTATGTGGCTGTCTGTCATTTTCCCTCCTTTGTAACAGGATTATAGGGTCACTGAGAGTCACTCTTTCTGTCTAGCTCACTTTTTAAAGGCACAAAAGACATAAAGGTGCAGCAGCTGAGTGATGCCATATTCTCACCTTGCATGAATGCTGAGGGTTGCAACAGAAGAACGACAACAACTGTTGGACAGATGTGCTTTTATTCCAAATAAGTGCCAGGTTCAGAACTTGTTCATATATTGCAATTGTGTGTTGACAGCAGTGTTTGTGAAAAACAATGCAATCTGATGGCTCAAGGTCTAAGAGGCTTTCAATCAAAGCACAAACAGTGTAATGACTCACCCCGATCACTGCGGGTGATTCTCGCAGTTTATCACAGCTAAAATCTGGAGCTCTGCAGTCGAGACAAATGTTTTCAGCACGTGTGCAGGTGCAAGGAACACCTGTGTGTGCTTCATTTTCTCTCCTCTTTGGAAAGCTGTGATGAATCTTGCATAAGCGATACTGACCACAGTTGTGATTTCCTCTTAAAAGGTTTAGCTCCATGTTTTGCTTCCTTGTATAACTGGAAACCTGGTTTGTTGTCCATATAGGAAACAAAAAGTCTATAGAAGACCAGAGACAATTATTTGGCATTAATAAATCAGTCATAATGAGCAGCTTTAAATCAATACAGTTGATCAGATTTTATTTTGCCCCAAAGCCTCAGAATAACTTTTGGAGTCAGTGTGGTTCAAGATGGCTGCCACAGCCAACTGCCCTTAAGGAAACATAAAATTCTTATAATTCAGTTTATTCTACATTGAGCTAATGTGGTGTAGTAGCAGCTGAGACTGATCAACACACCCAGAGTGTAAAGACAACGGACTCCAGCTCTGTTTAACATTTTGCCAATAACAATTTGGAGTCAACTTTGTCTGCCTGTTAGCAAAATATCCCATGAGCCACTGGACAGATTTGAATGAAACGTCACATGAAATGAAATACATAAAGTGGTGGATGCATATCTACAACGGCACAGAGGCTAGAGAAGCAAACCAGTGATCGAAAGGTTGTTGGCTCAACGCCCCGCTGACCATAATGTTAAAATGTTAATGAAAACATTAAGGATCATGTCCATTATCAGACATGATCTGCCTTCAACCTCATTTTCCGCTCCTGGCTCCCCATGCAAGCAAGGCCTCCAATCTCCCGCCCTCCGCCACACACGTGGCCAGTGGCTGCATCGAGAAGAGCATCTGGACTAAAACATCTGCCAAATCCTTGAGCAAGTTTGCTCACCTGAAGAAAGGAACAGCCAACTGACCTAAGAAAACACAGACTATCATTTGCACTTAGTTTTTATTAAACATCAAATCTTGCATTTCAGGATTGCCAGTCACAAGTTCTGCCTCCAGTTCCTTTGATTTTAAGTGTAAAATCTCCAACACACTACTTTTCTCATGGTGAGATAAAAGTTATTTAAGGTAATGTGTATAAGAAAGCAGCAATTGGAAAAGAAAAATGCAATCTAGTCTACATATGTCTTCATTTGTTCAAAGGATTAATAACCTCCAGCAGGTGTTTCTGCTCTCAACCAAGATGGAGAACAAATGAAAGCAGGTCTGGTGTGTTGTTCCTGAGTGTGACCAGCAGAGGGCAGCCTCCACTTAGAGAACTTCACATTGTGTCTGGTCTGCTGCATGGTCTCCTTGGAAGAATAATGTTTTTTCTCCTATTAGTAAACTTAAAAGAACAATATTTAAATTTGTAGTTTAGACTGTTGGATAATAAAGTCAAGGAAGAGGTTTTATTATTAATATTTTTTTTCAGAAAAAAACAAAACCCTATGTATTTTATTGATGTAATAAACATTTTGTTGCCTCTAGCTCCATGTTCGCCAGTCAATAATGGAAAACCAACCACTTTTCCTTCAAGCCAAACTTCTACAAAACTAATATCTCCAAGTCAATCCAGTAAACCACACCTTCTCATTTTCACTGCTCTCTGTTAGTGAGGTTGATAAATAGTTAAAAGGGCTGGATTCTATCAAATCTGCAGGCCTTCCCTTTATTTCTTAACGCTAGCTGCACAAATCATAGCAGAACCGGTGTCACATCTTTAATGTGTCCATAATCCAAAATACTATTCCAAATGCTTGGTAAACAGCTTTTGGTCTACCTTTACTGAAGGGTGGAGACCCACTATCCTGGACAACTACTGACCAATCTCTAAACTGTATTCTAGCTAAGGTCTTAGAAAAATGGATAAATACTCAAGTC